AACAAAAAGAAGAATTACTAACTTATGATATTTTTTCAATTATAAACACTTTCTTCTCAATGAAATTCACTTTATTTGAGACTAATTTCATTAATGACTTACTTCTTAAAATAAATCAATTTTAAAACTATTTCATATATAGTATAACATAAAATTAACAATTAATTAGAATAATTGCACTCAAATTTAAACTAATTACGGTATAAATAATATTAATTTTAACAACAAATCTAATAGAATTAAAAAACTCCTAAAATATATGAAGATTTAGACAATCAATGCCAACGTTTCGATGTATAACTGAAACATAAATAATAAGCAATATTAGAAAATTTGTATAAATTGATCCATAAATGAAAATCATTTGCAAACGGTTTGTATGAATTCGCAAAATCTGAATAAATAATGGATCAAATATTTCAATGAATGAATCAATTCAAACACAAAAACATTTTAAGCCTTATTCGGAGTGAAAGAATTCATACGTTTATATTCGACGGCAGAAAATCATGAACTCGTGTACTGTCCGAGTCATGAGGAACTGTAGCCATCGGTTCAGTAACGTAAGGAATATATATGTCATAAACACAATTGAATATACGGTACAAACCATTCATAAATGTTATAATTGTTTGTTGTGTTTATCCCTCCATTGTCTGCGTTTGTCGAGAATATTCCTGATGAAGAACTCCCCGGCCTTATAGCTGGACCTCACGAGTGGACCACTGGCCGTATACATGAATCCCAACTCATTTCCATACTCTTCCCATCGCTTGAACTTCTCTGGAGTGACGTATTCGACGACTTTGATGTGTCTTTTGGTCGGTTGCATATACTGTCCTAATGTCACACAATCCACATCCGCGGCCCTCAAGTCATCCATAGTCCGCATCACCTGATCGTCAGTCTCCCCGAAGCCCAACATAATGGACGTCTTCGTGATGACGGACTCGCCGTTCGTTTGTTTGGTTATATGTTTGGCAAACTTCAAGACATCAATCGATTGCTTATAATTAGCTCTTCGGTCGCGAACGAAGCGCTGGAAGTCTTGGACGGCCTCTACGTTATGGGCGTAGACGTCGAGACCAGATGTGGCCACTGTTTCCACGGCTTTCATGTCACCGCCGAAGTCAGGCGTCAGACACTCCACACAAATCGTGTCATTCATTGCCTTCAACTGCTTGACAGTCTGCGCGAAATGGTTGGACCCGCCGTCCGGCATGTCATCCCTGTCCACAGATGTCAACACCACGTAATCCAAGCCCCACTCGGAGATGGCTTTGGCGGTGTTGTAGGGCTCGTGGGGGTCGGGCGGTGGGGGCGCTCTGGAGGTCTTGACAGAGCAGAAGCGACAGCCGCGCGTACAGGTGTCGCCCAACAGCATAATGGTTGCGGTGGACGTCCGGTGCTGTCCTCCGCCCCAACACTCGCCTATATTGGGACACTTGGCCTCTTCGCACACCTGTCCATCACATGTCACGCGTGAGTCACAGACAACACAAACCATTCACTCATATCAATGCAAACCGTATTCAATCCCAAAGAGCGCAACGACTCCTTCAGGCGGTGATAGTTATGTCCGACCGGTATCTCCCTCTTGAGCCACGGCGGGAGTCGTAGTCTGAAGATTGTGAGCGCATGTCATGAGAGGGGAATGGGATGCGAGTGTCGGACATACCTCTCATTATCACCCTTTTCTCGCCTAAGTTTGCCGCTATAGTCACTCCACTTGTCATCGCTTCCAACGCTTCCTGAGATGAATTGAGACAATTGCGGACCACTTTCCAGCCGTGACTTAAACTCATCGATATTAATGTCTTTATTGGCGGTTGTCTTGAGGCGAGAGATCTTGAGGTTGAGATCCAAATGTCTTCTAATCAATGGCTGTGTCTTTGATTTCAGCATTTCTTGCGTTCAAATTATGTCAATAATCAACAATCAGACGATGCGAACGCTATAAAGGCGTACAGACTTCGCACCAAACGCTCTATTCGTGAAAGTATTGAGAGTAGAGTTACGCCCTTTTGGCAGATGATAGCGAATTACATGACTAGTGCGGGGATCGTGTGTTGATTACGACTGCAGTAACGCAGCGATGGGTTAGTGAATGGAATGCGTCGTCACAACAAACCCATAGACAGACAGTCAGTGAGTAATGCATTGAGTGTTGCGTTGAGTCATAGAGAGAGTCAACACATAAGATGGCAGACAATCACAACACAGACATCAACACCACTGACCACAACCACCACTTCCATCTCAATCCCATCCAGAATGAGGCTGTCCTCCAGTTCCAGGTTTGT